ACACTGTTTAGGAATGCACACAATTTTAGTTGGGAACAACACACGTACACTATTTTAACATGTACTCAACTTCACAAAGGTTACGCTCTGCATAGGTCTGTGACTGACATGAGCACTTTGTTATGGAACCATCAGGGGGCCACTGATCCACTGAATGCATTATGAGAGCACCCACATGAAGTATGATATCTGTATGGAGGTCTGTTGTGGCACAGCATCTGTGCAGTCGTTTTAGGTTGTGTAAATTGTGCCGAATTGGAAACGGATGACTTTTGTCGCTAATCAAGTTCGCTGTAAGGCGCATCATTGCTCTGTAAGGTTAAAGGGCAAATTTGCAGCTTTGATCTTGGGAAATGTAAAACTTAATTGACTGTGAGAGACTTCAAGATTTGCTACTCCATTCCATTAAAGAAACAACGAAAACTTTTTTCCAAATGGCAGGTGTAGCTACGTGTAATTGATCAAAGTTTATTGACTGTAGTAATATTACAAGGAAGAGTCACTGTAAAGCTGTGATCATTTTGTTGCACAGCTAAGCAACTTGTCATGAAATTGCCCATTTTTTGCAGTGCTTGCATTGTGTTAAGTTACACCAAGCCTCATTAAATCCCCGGCTGGGGTCACGTTCCTGTCCTTGAAAGTCCTTCTCTTTCTTTTCTGTTCTTAAAGCGGTAAAGAGATTGAGAATGCCAAAGGTAAAGGCACGGATTTCTTCGGCCTAACGCACCCAACCATCCAGAACCTGATTCAGAGCTCACCAGGTGCACGGAAATGCCTCAAGTATAAATGGATGAAGTTCACCACGACAAGGTCACCACTTGACCACAGGGTCGAAGGTCAAACCAAGCACAAGGCTAGAGACCCTGGAAAAAAGAATCGTCGGGAAGGAAGCAGTAGTGTGAAGAAGCATGATCAATCAAGTAAGGAGATCTTTCCATGACAAATTGCTGAAAATACTTAATTGATGTTCTGTATTTTCACTGCACTGAATGAGCCTTTTGCGAGTTAAATTTGAATAAAATCTGGTACACCGAGTTCTTTAAATTCACGTGAACATAACAATTGGAATTCTCCATACTAAAGCCTTGTGATTCGGGGCAAGCTTTTCCTTAGTTACGTACAAGACGCCTTGCAACAATACACTGTTCTCAATGGAAAAGAAGGGCACAAAGGAACCAGTCCATTCCAGAGATGGTGGTCGCTAAGCAAAAGCTTATGAGGTATACTAACAGTGTCTTTAGTCTGGGGAATTCAAATTGTTACATTTATGTGCAATCAGAGAACTCGTTGTACCAGATTTTATTCAAACTTAACTTGCAAATGGCTTATTTAATCAATTTTTCATAAATACTTTAAAACGGTTTACCTTTTCCTTTTTGTCTATTTCATCAAAATTATTTATTGTACTGGCATTGTTACTGAAGAGAAGAAACCACTGTTAATATCTCAGTAGCTCTGTTTTGCAGTTTTACGTTTTTGCAGTGTTTGTGTGGTTGAAACTTTTCAGCTATCAACAGGGGGTCATCCCGTTTTTATGTGTACAAAATGTATGTTGGGAAGGATTATCAGTCTTTTTACACTTGTCACTAACTGGCATAAATTGTGAATTCCCTTTCTATGTTTTAACTTTGACATGCTCATAGAAATATTTAAATAATATGGATGTCCCCCAGAAAGATCAGGTTGATAATTGGCTCTTGATGACATTTTATTCATGTTGCCATATCTGGCATTATCCTTCCCCGGCCCACTGAGCCCAGCCCTCCTCCCCAAAAAAATTGCAAAAGAATTAGGCCTCGACCAAAAAGCGATAGAATACGTGTTCTATATTTATAAGTGCCTGAAGGAGTTTCTGATGGTAATTTCTACGTCATTACAGACACCAAGCAAGATCCAGACTCCCGTTATGTTCTTGCGTCAGCAGACCCACTCAGCCCAATGACATCATCTGGAGACAGTCTAAACTATCAACTCACCAGCCCAGTTGACACGTTCCCGACAGAAACAAGGGCGAAGACAAAACCCAGTGAGGAATCTTCCAGTACAACACAAACTAGATCTAAACCAACCCTAACCAAGGAGGACTCAAAACTCAGTACCATGCAAACCAGATCAAAACCCACATCAGGGCCAACTAACCAAGCTAAACCGGATTCACAAACCCAAACTAAAACTAAACCAGATTTGCTAACTCAAACAAAGACTAAACCTGATTTGCCAATCCAAACCAAGACAAAACCAGATTTACCCAGCACTCGGGTTCACACCAGATCTAACTTGCCCAACCAGGTTCAAACAAGGTCCAAACCACTTCATCCTCACAGCGGAATCAAAACAGAATCCCAAGGTGATCAAATTGAGAAATCCAGTCAGTAACATTCATTAACTTCAAGTACATGTAATCAAGGTCAAGGCCCTTCAACTCTATACAGCATATGTATTCACAAGGCATGCGGTATGCTTGGACCTCACTTTGTTACCTTAACAACTGTACAGTCCCACCATTTGGTAGTCACATGACGTGTATATTTACACCCTTAGTCATTGTCTGTACATTACTGTATAATACCTGCATTCAAACTGATCATTTGTGTACCCTTTAATTGAACTAAATTAAAGGCCTTTGACATGTAAAGTTGGTTTGAAATTACCTATCCCATTTTCTCACAGTTCAATGAAAGTTATGAACCTACACAGGCGATGGCATCGCATTCTTAGGCAAAGTGTGTCAAAATGATACAATGTGGATGTATCATGTTCAGATCTGTCAGCAGTGTAATGATTTTGTAAGAAGCCGTTCTGCCTACAATCTCTATTCTTATATCACCAGTGCCTTTCAGTTAAATGACATTTAAGGATTTTTCTGTTGGGACTTTTTCAGAGATAATGGAACACTATGCAAGTCCCTTGTGCCATTTCTGTGGATATACAATGTAGCGTCTTTAATCAGCATGTCTTTGATATAGGTTAGCTGTGCATTGAAGGAAATGTAACTCAACTCTCAATGTCTTTCTTATTACAAAATAAATATATATGAAAAGGGCAAAGCTGTGAATTACAATCAGTAGCATTCCCTTGGTTTTCCAGTCCTTTTGTGACAATGTTGTGGTTATAAGCAGTTAAATTGGCCTCTTTCTGCAACCTTCATGTAATCAGAGTCAACTGTACTTGGTAACAAGATCATTACTGGATATTCCCGATGGCCCCCTTCAATGACAGCAGGCATCATGATGACTGTTGCATGTAGTAAAATGCTCCGTGGCAGTTGTTCCAAACAAAACCAATCATAATTCTTTCCACCATGGGGGGAGGTTGACGCCGGACTGTCGGCATAAAAGCAATATTCACAAGCCACAAAACAGTCCACACATTTTGCATTAATGTCACAGGTTTCTTGTCTAGGGTAAAACCATGCCTTCCTTGGTATGCATTCTCCTGCAGACAAGCCGCAGTGATAAACCAGTAAAGTGTTTGCCGCTGAGTGGCACAGCGCCCTCTATGGTTCATGCACAGAATACATGATTTCCTGGACAATGCTGTACAATCCAACAGTAGTCTTTGAACACAAACACTGCAAAGTTTTTGTTTACTTCTCTTAATCTTTGTTGAATAAAACACTGAATTTATACCTCCAAAGAGAAGACATGTACAGGGGAATGTATACATTTTGTACATGGCAATAACATATTTAGAAGCTTTAAATATATTGGACATTGAGTTTGGAGCCATTTCTGAAACCCTGTATTTCTCTTTTGACTTTGGTTACATGGGCTCAGCAATGATTTGGCTTTATAAAAACAACCTTAATTCAGAGCCAGAAATGGGGATTTTTTTCCCATTTTTCCAATCAAAGGTCTACAAATGGTTCATATGTCAGAGATAAAGCCCCAAGGCATAGCCCTGTCCAAATTACCAGGCTATGGCTTAAAAAGCACATGTTCCAATGGAAGCCAACTCAGACACAGGACCTGAAGCTTCTAAACAAACTGGGGTCAATAACTGTTATTTTTTCCCTCTAATATGAAACAGTTGGTGCGGGTTTGGCATGTCACTATATTCTGTCGTTGGATTTCAAATGGCTCTGAGAGACTTCCAAGGCTATGAATCACAGCCAAATTAAGTTTTTACCTTTTCTGGAGCTGGTGGTTTCCCTTTAGAATATATCTTGTAACTGATTTCTAAAAATTTCAAACCACAGCACATGATTTTGTGTTGAAATTGGAAAGGGGGGTTTCAGACATAATTTTTGTTCAAAGGTGTCCAAGTTGATAATGTTGAGAAGTACTCATATCAATTAAAATGAGTATGGGCAGTTTGGGAGACGATTAAAATATAAAAATGTCTCTTAATAAGGAGTGCTCTTAGAAAAAAAAAGGTTTATAAAGAGCAAATTCCATATTCCCAATTCTCATAACTTATTTTTCTTTATTGTCCATAACTATGTAATTGAGCAGGTTCCAACCCCTTCCTACCACAAGAGGGGAGTCAGTAGACTACTGTTTTGACAAAAGGTTTAAGTGTCAGCATCAATTCAATTTTGTCTACAAAAGTACCAAGACAAAAAATTTTGTTTTTGAAATAGGATGTTTTTGCAAGAACGTCCAAGGTTGAGTCTTGAAAAACAAAACAAAAAAGCAATCTTAGGCCGTGTCCGAAATGGGCTTCCAGAGCTACGGCTAGGTCTATCGTCTACGTGTTTCCACGCATTTCCATTGGAGCGAAGACCTAGACCTAGCTCTAGACAAGAGATTCGGATGCAGCCCTAGTCACATTCCCCAAACTTACTCTGGGTCTGGAATCTTGCCTTCATAATATATGTCATACAGCACTATTATCATTTACCGGCACCATTCTCATCTTTCTCTTTGTATGATATAAGTCCTTTACTGATGAGGTCTGGAATTTCAACAGCCAGCCAAGGTCCCAGCTGAAACAAAGAAAGAATTTGAAATGACAAATACCTTGAACATGTGGAAGATGTGTGGCATGTCATTTAGGATAGAAAAGTTCATCTTGAGAATTAAATTTGGAGAACAAGACTGGCAAGCTGGTCCTCCAGAAATGAGAGTATATTTGTGGGGAACAAAACTGCCAAGCTACAGGCACATGTTGGTCCTCCAGAAAACTTTCTCTTCATGCTAATCTCCCCTCCATCCACATGGGTAATGTTGAGGGTTTACGGCGAGGAAGGATTAAATACATCCCCTGTCAATTTTCACTCACAATTCCTCTTTACAAACTTTTTATAACAATTTTTTTAGTTCTCAGTATCCTTCAGATCACAGGTGAATCTTTGCCATAAACACCATCAACAGTTGGCAGTTTGCCTTTGACATGAACATCTGCCCTTTGACATAAGTGCCACTTGGATTCCTATCAAACCAATTTATTCTTCAGCTGTCCCCAAATCAAAATAAGTTCATAATTTGGCAAAACATTGAGAATACATATCACAAGTTTATTGCAGGTCGCTGCAAATCCATCCCCATCAAAGTCTTAAACTTTCCAAATAAAGTGCAAAAATTCACCCTGCTCAGGTACTTGTGACTGGTCTTGTGAAATGACTTGTGAAAGAAAATATAAGGTCACCAGAAATGGTTAGACCACCAAAGTCCTAGCCCCTCTCAGCAACCGAAATGGAAAAAAATGAGGTTAAAAACCGCATCAGAACTGAATGTTTATTTCAACTCACCCCTAATGCCATAGCGTGGCCAATCCCAAACTTTGGGACATTTTTAGCCCAGAGAGGTTTAAAGTGATCTGTCAGACAGATCTTCCCACCTCTGTACATCTTGGCTGTTTTACCATCCAACTCCGGAATGGCGATTTCTGGAGCCGTTTGAGGATATGTCACAGGAATCTACACAAATACAAAGGACTCAAGGTCAAAGATCATGAATTAAAGATCAAACATGTCAAAGGTTCAAACAAGTTGGGCATGAAGCGTGTGACTTGTACAGGTAAATGCCTCAAAAATATTGAAATCTATCGAACTTGAAGGGGCACCTTGCATTCTCAAATCCTACACTTTTATTAGAGCAAAAACCAGATCAAATCAAGGACCAAGTTCTGTCAATAGACCACATAGGACAGATTTTTAAAATTAATATGTACAGGTAAGCCTTACACTTCAAGCTAGCAAAAACATTATTTATCAATAATATCATTTTCATGATAATTTCTCCCAACATTCAAGTGCATCAATTTTCATGGTACTATGCATTCATGCATTACATGAATTTGATGACAACTGACCAAGCACCATCATACTCACATCAAACTCAATATCAAATTCATATTTGAGGAGTTCGTGGATGTGCCAACATTTGCCAAACCACCGGGTCCCATCTTTGTTGGATTCAAGTCGGAACCAATCATTGTCCGATTCCTTGTTGTTGTTAACGTACTGAAATTTCAATGAAAGAAAACAGCCACTGAAATCATTTTCAACAAAACATTTGGGTCTTGTCAAGTTGCTGCAATGATGAGGCTGAGTAGTAGGCTACATTGATGCATGTCATTAAACAAGAAACTAGGCTCTAGCCTACATTTTAATTAAAGAACACAATCCGCATGAAGCCATGATCAAAGCATAGGCCTACCTAGATAACATTGTGACATACATGTAACCACACTGACATTTCAAAATGGGATTTAAAAAGTTTAATACTTGGAAAGATTTTCAACAAATATCCTGAATCCCGCTAAGCCACGCCTTCCCAATACTCATAACCCCGCCCATGATTAGGCCTACGCGTTTGATTTCAGGTCAGATGTGCAGTCATGCATGTCATGTCACTTGTCAGTTCGTCCATCTGTTACTAGAAACATTTTGAGAGTCTATTTTGACATAAATTTTGACAAGATTTGTGATCATTTGACACCTGAATTAATGACTGGTATTCTTCCTTCAGTCTTGTTGCCCAAAGATCTTTATCTCTCGGTCCTGCCTTTGTTTTGAGTAGTGGGATACTGCTCAGTGTCTTCCTAGTCGCTGCATCAACCATCTTGAAGTTCAAAGAAAAAGTACAGACTGCAATGCTTTTCGCCACGGTATTTTGTGCGTCTGGTACCCAAACCACTGACATGATATTTTTGCACACTGTACTACACCGGCAGTAGGATCAATCTGTCAACTTTGACATTATCAGCTGCAATATTATGGATCAATGCTTTCTCTTCAAATGTTCTTATCTAGCTGCTTGAAAGAGATTTCAGTATTTGTGATGGCATTAGACTGATTAATGTGTAGTTTTACCCAAAAAATTAGATGTAACAGTTGTATGTGTTTATTTTTTTCCCGATATTCAGTTTGGGATTTAAACTATTAACCTAATCGATATTCATATACGCGCAGCGAGTCAGCGCGCAACTGAGCTGCATGCAACAAGCGCATTCGCGATTCGATATCGATACATCCGCGATACAGCTGAATATAGTTTGTTGACGGCCATTTTGACACTGTGAAGCCTTCGAGTGAACAGGTTAGTGAATCGGTCTCCATCCTTTCACTCTTTTAATATATTTTCCGGTTTTTATCTTGAAATGAAAGATGATGTTACCGTTCTTCTTCAGGTAAAACACTATCTAGAATTTGGTGAACAAACATGACAAAAAGTGACCCAAATTTAAGCATAGCATTCGAAAACCCAGCAGTAACATCACAAAAAAAATGATCAGTTGGCTTTGTTGTAATATACTGCATCGTTAAAAGCCAACAAATATAGGTAAAACTGCCATATTCCTTGTGAAGAAACAAAGGGATTCAAAAACGCGGGAATCACACGGGTATTGTATATTGTTTTTGAAGCATTTTAACAGCATAATCAGAAAACATGATGAAAACGTAAATCTGTCATAAGGCCTGTGTTAAGTGTCATGAATGTGCGGCACATGTACTGATGTAGGCTAGTATTGTAGGAAGGCACAGTCTTGCTATTTTTTAGCGTCAACAAAGCATCAACAAAATATTCAAGCATTTTTATGCAAATATTTTACATTTACAATATTAGTAGGCCTAAGGCTCCATATCATATTCAGTGTATCACGTTATCGAAAATGATATTTGAGTGTGGAAATTTGAGCGACAAATTCGGGCTCAAAAGAAATTGCGCCCACGATGATAAGTGGGTGCACCGAAATGTTCAATACGCCGACACGAAATTGCGTATACAGATGTGTGGCTAAGGATGGATTGGGAGTGAGAGTCCGTGCCACACTAGTGTAGTGGGGCTAGTGCAGCCCAACCGGCCGCCATCTTGTTTTCGCGTGGACGGTAGAGTAAAGCAAGATGGCGGCCTCCATACATCGCGAAAGAGTTTCATTTTTCTGCGTGAATCTTGGAGCGAATTTGATGTTTCTCTTGTTGAGGCTTTGTTGACTGTAGTTGTATGTGTTGACGCTTGTTGACGCTAAATAGCATGACCGGGCTAGGCATGCTTGCTAGGCCTGGGTAGCTTGGCTTGCCTGTCACCGTCATCTGGTCATTGTGATTTTCAAGGCCTATTTACATGTAGTTATTTCCATGCACTTCAGGCCTATTCGTTAGGGCTAAGTAAGTGCCCAAGTGATTAGTTTACAGTCCTATATCTGGAGGCAGTTGACATGATTGATTAGTTGCAGGGTTCTTGGCATGCTATTAATGTTAATTAATCTTCCGCCCCCTCTAAAAAAAGCCATTAACACGCATGTTCAATGGTTTTGGAAAGAGTTCCATATATGGATGCCTGTAATTATTCCTAACAGTTACTTAATACTTGAATGGCCATCAGAAAGAAAAAAAAAACACAAGTTCCAATTTGGAGGGAAAATACCTAGGCCTAGTTGTTTACTTAGAAAATACTAAGAATTTTTCAGACCAGTCTCAAAGGGTTTATGCGCAGGGTGTCAAGTAGCATCCACGTATGGACCTCTTCCCGTTTTGCAACCATGTAACCAGCTGTTATTGGCAAAATCCATGCCTCTTACTTGTGATCCTGTCTCTCTTCACAAAACGATCGCACTTCTGAGCTGCATACTGTGGCGCTTGTCCGTTGACATGGAAGACTGTTTCCTGTCCCATCCCAGTCCTCTAATCATATACATTGGTACATGTGAAATAGGGATGGTGACCAGTCCAGTGACGCACGATATATCGCATCATTAGGAACCGGGACTCCATGGGCTGTGTACGCGTTCCTTCATCGGGAACCAACGCGGCACGACAAGATCATTTCCATGGAAATGAGGTTGCGTTATTGGACAGGTTGCTGTCCGTATTATGTACACATTCAGAACACTTTCCCATCTTAAAATGTGCAATGTATAAAGTGGGGAGAAATCTGTTTTTGGAATAGTAAATGAAGATGTATTAGTCCAAAGCTCACAATTTTTGAAATACGGCAAAAGTTGGTTGGCAAGTATTTATGCAGTGCTAAAGTCGGGTTGTTTTCTTCTCACCAATTGCACAGGATTGTAGTTGAATTGTATCATTTGTTTTGTCGTTTACAGGACGAACATTGTTCATGCTATCTATCTCTCGTGAGCGACCAGATTATATGACCACCGTTTTTGCCGGCTTGTGTTTGGATTTTGATTACACCTGCGGAACAATTTTTGGTGTCCCCTGTGACAACCAGAACCACTGCCTGAAGACAGGCTGGGACTTCTAGCTCAATTTATTTCTTCCATATCTTGTGCAAAAAAATCTGGAGACACAATAATGCAGAGAACTTAAGTCACTGACATCTGCTTTGTGGAACTCTAAAAATTCCTCTCTTTTAAAGAGCGGATCGTACGTAAACACAACTTGTACATTTTTTGCTGCTTCTGTGAGAAGCAACCCGTTGTTATAAGATTATAAGATATTGTTTATATATATTGTATATTTGTATATTTGCCAAAGAAAAAAAACTCTTTTACTATTCAGATTCTCTATACAAACGGCAGGCTTTGCCACCTGCTTCTTTATGTACGGAGTCAACTTTCTTGCACAAAACAATCAACGAGGATTCACTCGCGACAGATCTCAGGGAGATTGATATACCTGCCATTCCTAGGACAGGAGTGGCATTTTTGTACTAAACAAAAACTCCAAAAAAAACCAAACGATCCCACAGTTAGTGGAATGATGGCTGCTGCCCCACCACAGTCAGCGGAAGTATCCAAGATGAATAACCATGGTGCTAACAGTCCAGCGCGAGGAGCCGACGTGAACTCACAGAAGATGGCTCCACCTACTGCAGGTATGGCCAAGATGTCCATCAAGCAGAACCAGAACGGACCATCATCCAACGTTAATGCCTCGTCTGCTAAACCAGCCACAACAAATAACTCAACAGGAAAGTCAGACAGGTAAGCAGAGTGTGCCTCAGTAACTTTCAGTTTATGTTTGGCAGATTTTAAGATTGACAGGAATTTGTTGGAGTAATCGCACATCAACTTGTACATGCACTGTACAAGAAGTACATGGAGGACCAACCGTGACAATCATTTTCCTGATCCTCTCAAGTGGCTTCAAGAAGGGCTGCACATTGTACTGTTGTATCCATTGTCATTCCTTTTTCATTCTTGGCAGCGGAGATTGGAAGGCTGGCTTGAAGAAACCGCCCAGAGATGCCAGAATCAAGACAAGTGTAAGTCATGCTGTCTTCTATCATCTGATTGTGAACTGTACGTGCCCTGTGTGTTACTGGACCGCTAAGCTACCTTTTTGTGGTTCAGCGTCAACTGGGCAGACATTAACATTACTCTGTATCGTTTATGTGGTCTGGGAAATTACGTGCCCCAAGGCTTAATAGATACATAGATAGAATTTTCACTGAAAGCTGCAGAGCTGTCATTTGTTTGTCTTGGTGAAGGTTTTTTAATATCAGAAGTCTCCTGACTACAGATCAAAGTTTTTTGGATTGCAACAGGGGAGTAGAGTTATTCATTGATTACCTCTTGTGCCTTGAGGACTTCCCTTCAAGTTCTTCCATTTTCCTCCCCTGCAAGAAATCACCATTTTCAATACCTAGCTGTAGTCAGATATGGCTACCTACATGTAAGGTACCTTTGACATGCCTTTGCAGTGACCACATTGTTGCTGCGTCCATTGTAATTTGACCTTGCGGCAGTAAGGATGATAAGGCCCCCAAGTTTTTGAATAAAGAGATGCCACTTTCTAAATTTACCCTAACCTTGCCAAATACAGCACAGTGCAACAGGTGCGAAAGTCTGCTGCACTTTGCAATCAACGGCAGCCAAACAAACTTGCCACATGAGTTGCGACAATGGGAGCTAGTCCTATTGAATAATGACACTGTTGGATCTTGTGGTGACTGGCAACCACAGACTCCTAGGCTGATTGGCCTTGGGGAGAGTTGGATCTTGTTACACTGGGCAGGCAAGCCACTTTGACAAATGATGCAGACTGATGCGTCTGGTAGGTCTGGTCTAGCCAAACCACCCTTGGGGGGTTAGGGTTAACTGAGCGACTTGTTCCACTCTCTTTAGGATGTCACAAACACAAAAGGCAACGAGTTTGAAGACTACTGCTTAAGCACCGGTCTCCTCAAGGGCATCTTTGAGAAGGGATGGGAGTGGCCATCACCCATCCAAGAGGCCAGCATCCCCATGGCACTATCTGGTCATGACATTATTGCTAGAGCAAAGAACGGAACAGGGAAGACAGGAGCATTTACTATTCCCATGCTGGAGCGAACACAAGTCGACAAAAACGAAGTGCAAGGTTTGTGTCACTTTAACTCTTATCACCGGGTACCATGCTTTAGGACATCTGTCTCCTCCTCATGGAGTGTGAGCGTTATACGTTATGTTAATCACAGCATTCAACAATGTTTGAGATAGCAATAAACTTGTCCCGTGTACACTGTATTACAACAGCTTTTAGAAAATAGGATCTTTGCTCTTCCACACTCGTGGCAAGGTGCTCATAGCCATACCAAAGTAGTCCTGGGCAAATTTCATAGCACTGCTTTTGCAAACAATTTGTTTAAGCAAGAAAAAACCTTGCTTGACGAGTCGGGTTACCAGGCAAAACTCCTTGTGATGTATATTGTTTTGGAATGGTATTTACATGTCTTGTGGTTAGCATGACAAAAACATAGAAATTGAGCTGGTAACCTTTATTAAGCAAGGTTTTTTCATGCTTTAGCAAATTCTGTGCTTAAGCCGCTCTATGAAATTGGCCCCTGTTTTCATGCCAGTACACATCTAAATGTATGAGACTCGTACTTGCACTTTCTGCAGCAATGTATTCAACTGTAACGATCGTTTTGTACTTTACACATGCTTATTGTTGATTACTTCTCTCAAACTCACAAACATTAGACATTCTTAACTTTAACAATAGTTACATAGACTTGTACCCATGTTCTGTTTTTCTGTCTTCGTGAAAATAGACTCGAGTACCGTGCCATCGGTGAGGTCTTGTGATGTTACGTTGTGTAATTAGGTTTTTCTCTAGTTTTAGTGGTGTTATTTTTGTTCTCATCTTTGAGGATAGTTCCATAGTTGATACATGGTATCACTTACCACCATTTAGGTTTGGTGTTGGTACCAACCCGCGAGTTGGCTCTTCAGACCAGCCAGATCTGCAAGGAACTGTCGAAGCATCTTGGCCTTCAAGTTATGGTTACCACAGGAGGTACTAGTCTCAGAGATGACATCATCCGCTTACAACAGACTGGTAAGTTGTCAGATTCCTAGAAACTTAGGGGGCCTTCTCTTCATTGCAGCACACATGTACTTCACTAATGTCCAGGATAACTACGTTCTAACATGCTCATTGGGAAAAAGTAGGTTTCATAGGTACATGTACATGCTTTCAAAAGTTCCACCTTGACATGATCATGAAATGATTGTCCACAGGACTATTGACAAATCTCGCAACATTTCACTGAACAGTCCTGATGTCGCTCTTTAATGGCAGGAAGTATTGTGTTGTGTTTTGTTCAGAGTGAAAGTCATGGAACAGTGAGCTCCATACAACATATCACAATGCTTACCGCCATTGGTGGGGGCCACTGCAAAAGACATTTACTGACTTCCCCATAAGATTGTATTTTAACTTTCTATAAACATCTACAGCAATGGATTTTCAGCATGGGTGATTCAATCCTTGTTAGGTTTCAGCAGCTTCACACACACCAATCTTGAGAGATATCTCACAATGTCTGCTTTACATAATTTCATTTTTGGTGGTTATTTCTATTAAACAAAGTTGGCTTGTACTTTGTTTCAGTACATCTCATTATAGCAACGCCGGGCCGCATCTTGGACTTATGTCGTAAGGGCATTGCAAAGCTGGATAAGTGTGGAATCCTTGTGTTGGATGAGGTAAATATTGCTGAAAACTCCAGTCAATCTTCCTGATTTCAGAACTGTATAAAAACAGTACCTTACATGAAGTCATGTGCATGTGTGAGTGGTTGTGCATTGGGAGGCACTGATCAGTCGGAAAATGGCGTTAGGTTTTAGTGCTCCCAGATGATAAATAATACAAAATGGGGAATGATTCTTCTGCAAGAAAACACACATGCGCACTTTGTAACCAAGATAGCAGGTGGTCTGAAGTTATCACATCATTCTGTGTGGCTCTAGCTGGTTTTGGCCCAAGAGCGCCCCCTACCATCCCTGCACAAAGTCAGTGATAACTGCCCACGTTTTTTTGGTGCCAATCCACAGGCTGATAAGTTGCTGTCGCAAGACTTCAAGAACATGTTGGATGATCTGATCACTTTCCTCCCCAACGACAGACAGATCATGCTGTATTCTGCCACCTTCCCTACGACGGTCAAGTCCTTCATGGTAGTGTATCCCTAATCTGTACATCTCATTCTTGCCAAAAAAACCCACAAAATCCAACTTGACCAGTCCACAGTCTCAAGGCAATTTGTTGATAGTTCACACGCACAACAGTCACATGGACAACTCTTGACTAAAAGACTAAAAAACATGCCGGTCAGCTTCTCGGTGTGAATACCTTAACCGACTCCTTTTTTCCAGCAGCACATTGCCCAGAATGAAAAATTCGTGTGAGATTGGTTCATATACAATTTTTTTTTTAACAATCACTTAACACAGCAGGTCATCAGGTGTATGATAAACATGTAACAATCATCTCTGAAGACTGCCCACATCATGCATTGCAGCCAGCCTTTTGGCCCAACGTGATAACATTCTCTCTGGTTTATCAATTTTACTTTTAATCAAAATAAGTAGCAAGACGAAACAAAATTGCCCAGGAAAATGACTTGGTGAAGGTCGTCAAGCAGTTGGACCCTATTAGGCACTTGTTTTTTCATGAGGTTGGATTTAAATTTGGTGATCATAATGATTGCATTGCCTTAGAACCACACACCACACTCATTGTTTGTAAAATAATTGAACAACCCATCAGAATCAGGCACAGTGTGGTGTTGATTGGAGGCTTTGAAAGGCAGAATTTATTGTGTAACAAGGATTAAATGAGATACAAGTGTTAGTTTTATTCAGAGAAAGATTCACAAGCAGAGGTTTTATTTGATTATTGTGCATGGAAGTAGGCCAACTTGGTGAGACTACAGCACCAACAATTCAACTCGTTTTGATGGAGTAGATTGAGGAGTGAGTTATGTTAGGACGGCTCCAGGTCGTATTTCAAGCAACAATGATTTATTTTGTCATGTTGTCATTCATCAATATTGCTTCTACAGGTTGTAAGACAACCTAGCCATGCTGTATTGATTAACACGCCTTGATTCAGTGCCCTCTCTCTTTCATGGTATCTCCTGCAGCAAAAACATCTGCCCAACCCGTACCAGATCAACTTGATGGAGGAGTTGACACTGAAAGGCATCACACAGTATTACGCCTATGTCAAAGAACGGGAGAAGGTCCATTGCCTCAACACGCTCTTCTCAAAGGTAGAAACAACCCAAACCTTAAGTATAACACGCCCGTGACCTTTCAGGTTTCCCTCCCTTACAAAAGTTACCTCTTTCGTGTTTCTCCCTTAGCTCCAAATCAATCAGTCCATGATCTTCTGCAATTCTACCCAGCGGGTGGAGTTGTTGGCTCGTAAAGTGACGGAGCTTGGCTACTCCTGTTTCTACATCCACTCTAAGATGCGTCAAGAGCATAGAAATAGAGTCTTCCACGACTTCCGCATGGGCGCCTGCCGTAACCTGGTGGCCTCAGGTCAGCTATCCTATCTTTGTAGTGTCCTCTTGGTTACAGAAGCCGACTGCTTCACTGACCTGATAAGTAGCAGCGTAGACGTGCCATTCTTGAGTCAGTTCTTCCAGTACAAGGAGATAATTAATTGTTAGTGACAGACATACATGTCTGGACCTTTGGGTTGTGGATTCAAAGACACTGCAGAGTCTAAATTAGAGAGACAGTGTGTGTTAACAATACCTGTTCTTCTTTTGCATAGATCTTTGCACTCGTGGTATTGACATTCAAGCTGTCAATGTGGTCATCAACTTTGACTTTCCCAAGCTGTCCGAGACTTACCTGCATCGCATTGGCCGCTCGGGCCGTTTTGGCCACTTGGGTCTTGCCATCAACTTGGTCACCGAGGATGATCACCAAAGTCTCTGTCTCATCGAACAAGAGCTGGCCACCGAAATCCGCCCAGTACCCAGCGAGGTGGCTATTGACAAGAGCCTGTATGTTGCCGAGTTCCAGATCCCTGGTGGCACTGGGGAAGGAGAGGACAAGAAGAAATCGGTGTCAGCAGTGGGATCCAAGGCTCAGCCCAATAAGCCCAAGCAGGCAGCTGCTAAGTAAAGGTATCTCAGCTGACAAACGACACTGTCTGTGACAGTCTTCTTGATTGTTTTTCTTTTTGCCCACTCAGAAATTGTTTTCTTCATTGTACAGTCATTTGAAGTGTTGAAAGAGTTGTTAAGATTTGAGAAGTGGTTACGACTAAAGACATTGCTGGATGAACCAGTTCTGAGCTATGTTGTTTTCTTCAAAGCCTCTTTCTAATTTTGAAGTCATACCAGAAGTTACCAGCTTCATCCATAGAGTCTCGAGTCCAGTGTCACAGTCATATAAGCAGAAACTGATATGAACATGAATAAGATATGGTAATGGCTGTTTGGTGATTAAATACCATAAGCTTATATGTCTGCTTTATCTCAGTTTCTGCTAAGCGGCTCTGGATCATTTACTGTAGCTTGCTACACATCCACTCTTATATAGAAAGGGGAAGCAAGTCCGATACATAATGAGTAATGGAGAGCAATGATGCATGTGATTAACAAGTGTCTTAGGATCAGCATCCTGGCTGGCAAAGTGGAAACACTACACTAGTTGAAAAATTTCTTGTTCCCTTCTATAGAAGAGTAGTGAAGATGTTTGTTTCTGTTAGTGTTGCTGGCTAAACTCTTCAATTAATAATGAGATGTAGACAGAAGTAACCATTTTATGTCTGTCCAAGAAAACAGAATGCCGTTTTTTTTCACAATTTGGAGAAAAAAAAGCAAATTTGGGTCTGAAATTTTGTAATGATGTTTAATTTATGAGAAGAAAAATCTTTCATTTCCTATATGTTGTCTGCAATTGTGCCTGAGCGTTAAATCAATGCAGAACTAAAAAGATACGAAACGGGAAAAAAATATGTCAAGTGTTGGAAGTCTGAGTTTGGGCCGTTAAAGCTGGTACTGAAAGAAAAATAAGGCCCACATTTTGAAGGAAAACAGAGAGACAACAAAGACATTTACTTTTTAAGAGCTAATGCAAGGATTTTGAGTTCATAGCCCCAGTGGAGTCAAAATCCATGCAATTTATTTAAAGACTTAAGTTTCCAGTTTATGGGTCCTGTTTTTGTGTCAGAACACCATGCTGCGGTCCTGGGCGATATAGATGGTATTTGTCAAAGAAGCCTTCAACAGTGTTTTGGGAAAAAGGAAATATTGGCTAGGAAGAGGCAAGAAGAATGTTGCTGGAGCGACCGATCAGACATCTCCTTGAGATCAGTTGCAAAAACTGTCTCACTCTGGTGTATTCTCTCTGCAAGGAATGCAGCGTTAATGACTGCTAATTTGCGTGGATTGATGCTAGCGTCACTGACAACAAAAGATAACATTTCATGGAAGACAGGATGTGTGAATGAATGGCACAAGTTGAGCTGAAATATAAGCAATGACTAGACAAGCTTCGTTACTGGAAGTAACTGCGATGATTGACGTGCCTCCTGTTAGACAACGTTTGTCACCTGTCGACGCTATATGTGTAAATGTAAATAAAACTAGGAATCGATGAGCAAAGTGGAGACGTCCGCACCATGCAGGATGTGATCGGTGCATTGAACGGCTCAGTTGAAGATTCTCCAAAAGATGGGAGAGCAAGAGATTTAGGACACTGTACATGTGTATGCTTAGTTCTAATCTAATTGTGAGGGAACCGTAAAAGTTAACTGTAGGAAGGCAGTTGCTGTGTGACACCTACAGACATAATATAAAATGGTACTACAGCAATGTCAGGACAGCTATGTATGTGAGTTGGAGCAGGTTGGAACAGTCCACTAGGATGTGCTGATCCTCAGATCTTGAGTGATTGATGAGCTGCTGAGAGATTCCAAGAAAAGTGCACTTGACGTGTTCACAAGCAGCAGAACCAGTCGGATTTAAGGACAAAGAAAGGAGACGTGAACAACCGGCGTCTAGCCAGGAGTCATCAAGTGTGCTGCCTTAAGTCGGCAAACCTGGTCAAGTGGTACTCATCAAATCGACGGCATTAATGAGGCGTCATCTTAGTAAATGGTGTTACTGAGGGTCAAGCACACACCATGGAACTGATGTTCAGCTAGGAGACAGCAGCCATGGTGTTCTCCTAAGTTTGTTCATGTTCACGTTATTTTGTTTGTTTGTTCGTTTTTGTGATTTTTCTTTTTTAAAGTAACGCTCAAACTGTTTCGGTGGAAGTCATCTTTCTGTTAAGAGTTTGTCTACATGTTAGTCTACAGACAAGTTTGTGGAGACACAAGATCTCCCAATGAGAAAAGAGATCTTGCTCCACATTGTCATTTAACTGTGCATTTACATGAATTGGGAAGGATTCTTTATAGCATGGTTTGATTGAAGGTAATAAGAAAATTCAATGCACAGCTGGATGAGTGTCAGGCGTAATGTCACCCGCTACTCCATGTGAACAGTGTGAGGAGTGTTTAGGGCTCATGTAACAGTTACTCCTATTTTCCCCCAGCCCTTTCTCCATAAGTTCTAATGTCACATCTTTATTTCCCCCCCCCATGATCATTTATCGCTTATTTGGTGTCAGATTCAAAGCAACGAACAGGTTATCTTGTAAAGAAAACAAAATTCACATCCATTTTTTCCCTCCCAAATGTTTCAGTTAAGTGTTGTGCAGCTGATTTTCTCATTTTAATTCGATAAGCACCATTTTTTCAAGCACCAATGTAAACATTTCTTTAATCTCTGAGGGAAAATCTTTTGGTAAATTTTAGAGAAAATTCCCTTGAGATTAATGAAAAGCATGCTTGAGGATGTCATGTTGCTTTCATGGAGACAGTGGTTGTGGAGGTTGAAATATTTCCACTGGGGCCAATCACTGTTTCATTTTCCTGATTCAGTGCTGGAGAGATTAGCATTACACTTGGGGTATGTACATTTACAGTCGAGGGTGATTTGGCAAGTCAAGAAATTGTCCCTCATGTTTCTGTCTGCAACATTTCTCTTGTGTAAATTTTATACGAGTACAACCTTGAAGTATCACTAAACTCATTACTACTCAGTCACTCTGTAAATCCAGTCTGCATGATGCAGACTTGCTCTGCGTGTTTCATCTTTGGTGTCCAGACTGAATTTCCAGAAATTATTCCCATCGTTTTGTAAATGAAAAGAGCAAGAAGGAACACTTGGAATCTGATCAATGCCTGAATGGGTTGACCTTGTAGAACAGGCATTAGGGCCTAAATTGTGTGGCAAGGTGAGGACCCAGGTGTCGCTTGTCTTTCATAATCAGTGACAGGTGGAACCCTGTCTGATCACACACAATCTCAATTTTAGGAGACTTTGTGCGTTGATCTGACTAACTAGCATTGGAAACCTATTGCACTGCTGTGAAGAATTGTTCACAAAGATACTTAAATGTAATACTTACACATGTAGGCAGAGCACACTCTTTATGGGTTCAGTGAGTTACTTTCTTAGTTTGATTTTGAAAAGTGTTTCAACTTTAGAAGCAAGGTCTGGTTAAAAGCAAGCCAGCTCAGTCTTTGAATTCCAGGTTTGAATATGAAGCCTGCGACTGCTTGCTCATGGTTGCTTGCTTATTGACAAAGTCAACTGCAAATTTTCAAGTGGCAAAACTGTGTGCTAAGTATTTTACATTTAAGTAAAAGATTACTTGCATAACTTTCTGTCTGAGGGAACTGTCTGTTTGTCTGTCCATTTTGGTAGTATTTTGTGTGTTTTTTCTTGTCTATGTTCAGTAATGACAGATTCTGTGCAATCTCAGTTGCAAGTTTCATGCTTGCATGGCATGTTCATGTTCAGCATGACTACTCTCCAAAGTGTTCAGCTTTGTGAATTCAGGCAGCGTGGGAGTTCTTCGTCGAAGAATGCCAGTTTTGAAAGCGTTTGTCAAACCCCCGGAGCCAGACAGATCTATGAATGAAGTCTGGCAATCCACTCAGTGTGTGCTTAAGGCGCATGTCATTTTGTCAGCATTGGAGCATGGAAGAGATAAACAGAATTAACCCTTTCCAGTTCAGTCCCACAGTTGTGCTGAACTGAGCCAATCTGCATGTACATTTACCAAGAAGTAGTTTTCAGTTTGTGTGGTACAAAACGACTTACCATAGGCAAGGCCTTGAACATAGGTCAAAGTTCACTTGACTGGTGCAGCAGACGTTAGGTAAATACCTGTGAAAGTTTCTGGTGTTCAAATGTTTATTTTTCTTTCATCTGTAGGCGTATACATGTTCAGTGCTTCACCATTGAAACCTTTCCAACTAATTGAAAACCAACTTTCACAATTTTCCTTTGGTTTCTGTTTATACTGTGTGCTCTCAAATGTTGAGCTAAAGACTGGTATTTTTTTTTGCTGAATAGAATCTGCTAAACGTTGGTTCCTATTAAAGTTGATCATACCAATAAAAATTGTCATTTAACTGCATCAGCTATTACTAGAGCAAAACAAGCTTTTTTTACCTTTGAAGTGAACCAGCGTTCAGCAGAAAACTGAAAAATCACATTATCTTTTCTGAACAGTATTGTTTGGAAAACATAGTCTGATTTCTAATTACTTTGCAACAAGAACACTGTTGAATCAGTTATAGTGCAGATGACATTTATTCTGTAGGAATGATGCCTAGTTGTGTAACATCTTGGTTCCTTGTCACACTTGTGGGTTCGGATTCATCTTGTATGGCATCAACAACACTTGTTTATCTACAGGTACTTGCATTGTAACTGGTTCTCCTGTGTTAAGCATGGCGTAGCCACCTGTTCCCGTTGGTGTGTGTGTATAGCAGATTTGTACAGCATCATCAGGAACAGTAGGCTCATGCCTTCATTCATGTCCTTGTCAAGAAGATTACTGACCAACATCATGCAAGTTAATTTTGCCTCAATGGCAGGTAGAACAACTGAATATTCACCGACTACTGTGGTTAACCTTGTCAAGAAGTTTTACCGTCTTTTATCTTAGCCACCTTGTTTGTAATGGTCACATGCTGAGTGTGACCACCTTTCAGTTATCATGTAAAACAAGCATACTTTTCCCTGTAAGCCTTGCACATGTTTATGTATGGCAGGTTAACAATCTGTCAGTTATCTTCTTGATAATAAGTAGAAGTACTAAGGCCTCACGTTTTTGTTTGTTTTTCAGGTTATGGATCTGCCAAAGTTTATTTTAGCCAAACAAAAACAAAAAATCTCTAGATTCATCATCCAATTCAGATACTGTGTCAGACGAAATCAAAGATGAACTTTTTAACAGTGTGTCCAAACTAAGAATCAGTTTCTAACAAGTTCCACCTGCCTAGACCATTTCCTTGTTTGTGAGTACATTCACATGAAAAAATGGCTGACCTCGATTCAGAAGTCAGTTTAGATTGCATTTCTTGTTCCAGTCCCCTGCATTTCTCCCTTGCAAACAAAACCAAAATCCGCAAGCTGAAAAACAAAACAAAAACGTTGTTGCCTAAAGATGGAGAGACGATGTTACGACTCTGCCAGTCACTTTCCTGGCGAAAACTCTGTGCTCAGTGGAAAAACTGCAGCACATTGGTTGGGCTGTGTTTAAGCAACCTGCCTCAGTTGCTCTACTAAGAAAGAAGTTCCTGAAGTTGAAATTTGTACAACTTCAGTTAAATTTTTAGAGCGGCTTGAAGTTCACAGTGACTGGTAGAGGTCTGTTAGATGAAGATACAAAACCTTTGACTTGCACATGACACGCCTGTTAATCAAAAACGTGCAGAAGATCAGTCGTCTAATCTTCCAACTTGAAAGATGTGTTGCAAGAGTTAACCACTGTGACAGGCATTCCCGTGAGGGCTTTGGCCATAAAATGCAACTCGCCAATATACTGTGTTTTCTTCACATCCTAGCAACGCTGGGAGGAAAAAAAAGTCAGTTTTCTGATTGAATGACTGAAGAAGAACAGTAAACACAGCAGTAAATCTTTGTTACAGTTGACCTGCCTGACTTTTGAAGGAAAAAAGTTATTAGCGCAAATATTGAAAACTGTCCATCGATTGAATCAGTTGTCCACTTGTAAAAGGCGTGCCATGTGCGAAGTCTTGAAAAGGTTGCGTGTGGCTCGACGAAGTAACTTTTGGTCAGCCTTTTATATTTGGGGTTTTCCGTGGGGAAGGTTGGGCGGGTTTGAAAACTGTTTCGGTGGGAGGGACTCTGCTCTGCAACTCGGGGTTTCGCAAGAGGTGTTGGGGGGGGGGGTGTCGCAAGGGTTTGACCCGGATTGTCTCACAACCTAGACTACAAGCAGTATTTGGTCTCGACCGGGCTAAAGTCTGTCCTGCTAGTCAGATCAAAAGCGTATACTAGGACTTCAGAATCGAGACAAATTTGCCACAAACAACCCTGAGCCATTGCCTTATTGTGTCAGATGGCTGGAGTAAGGAATGATAGTGACTGATCCAGTCACAGATATGTGATTGTGGGGAAAGACAAATATTTGTTGGTAAAAATGCAGAGTTTGAGTCAGTTGGGCAGTATTCGTAACTGGGTTGTGATTTAAAACAAGTAAAGGTTTTTTTAGGTTCAGTGGAAAAGTCCTTCCAGGATAATGCCCTCGGAACGTTGTCAGCTTCAGTGTGCCTTGATCAGTGTGACAGATGAATCACTTTGTGTGTCACAGTTCAGGCACAAGGTTTCCCTCCAGCACACGTCTTCTGTTTTCAGCGTGCACTGTTACTGGTAACACATGTCATCCATGTACATGTGTCTAGCTTAATTCATTCCCTGTGCACAGTTACGGAGTGAGGCCAAGCTACAGTGCGTACCCAAAGTTATTAACAAGCATGTTTCAAATAACTTATGAAAAGGTCAAACTAAAAATGTAACCACTCAAATTTTCAAAATGTATGCACAAAGTGTCTCGGAATTCTGCTGAACCCCCCCCCCCAAAAAAAAATCCGAAATCTGTTGATTATATAAAACGTAAGCGGGTACTTTATATAATTACTGTCCAATAATGGTTGTAACACAAATTCAAATCTATGGAAGTTGGCGCTTTCCTGGAAGGACTTTCTTGTTAAACATTTCCAATTTCATCCGTGGACAAATGTTAACGAAAGGTTGTCACATTGTTCACTGTGCAATTGAACATGTACCGAACTTGATCGAAATGTTGAAAAGACTGAACGAATAAAAATCATTGGGATTATGAAACGAAAGAAAAATGTTTCGACTCTCTTTGTATCATATCATTGATATACATGTATTGTGATTTGGATTCGGGAGTTTTGTTTTGGGGAATGTTAATTTGTTTTCACCCATTGAAAAGTGGTTCAAAAGTGTACTCCAACATTTATTTATTGCAAGTTCGCCGTGTAATTCCACCAATCGCAATCGTTTTGTCACTAATGTCGACTAGTACAGTGGATACATATTTTTTAAACGTGATGGATTTTGCTGATGTTTGTTTGTCTGTAGTGCTGTCCAAAACGACGCTCCAAATATTTACGGAAATAGGCCTGCTATACCTTTTAAACCACAAAATCGAAACAAGTTTGAAAAAGTTATAAATTTATAACGTTTTACTTAATTTGTAAAATACCCTGTTGCCCTTTTATGGTGCGTTCCGCAAACATTTTTCTAACGGACTTAAATTGGAGTGGTCGCTATGACTGCGGTGCACGTGTGTTCAGTCGCCGTGGACTGTGCGTGCATTTAGTTTGTTTATTGGCGCATGCGCAATCGTCACAAATTTATTGGAGCAGACGACGCATATGCCGTGTCCGAAACGGGCTTCCAGAGCTACGGCTAGGTCTATTGTCCACGCGTCTCCACACATTTCTAATGGAGCGAAGACCTAGACCTAGCTCTAGACTACAGATTCGGATGCAGCCATAGTGTTGGTGTCCCATTTGAGGGATTTGTACTTCCATTTCCCTTGAAGACCTCGTTTGTGAATAAATTGCCAAGAGTCTATCAAATGGTGATATTTAATAGCCTCTAGTCAGAAATATCTCCGGAAAATAATCAAAAGAAGTGGAAAAAGTCAATTTTACGACAAAGGATGATTATGAAAAAATTGTCTTTACCTAATTTTGTGTCTCATTTTCACAATTTGCCGGGTTTAACTTCAAATAAATTTGATGCCACATGAAAGAAAAGTAACTCCTATGAACAAAAATGTTTACTTCTGGGCAGAAAACCCCCCTTTTTTTAATTCACTTCGTTTTTCACTGGGACCCATTTTGTTTTACGTATGTTTCACCTTAAATACCTAGTGCCCAATTGTCACACCTTTTCGAATTCCCCTCAGATCATGAGTGATACTGTCTGGAAGACTGATGAATGTTTTGTATCCATCAATTCATTTTTTTTTCAAGATCAAGAGCCATTTGTCTGAAATTTCGGTTTTTCATACAGATTCAAATTTCCGCACTGAGTCCAGCAGCGGTCAAAAATGCATTTGCACTAATACGTACAATGACGTCAAAATTGCCCGACTAAAAGGCAACCAACAAAAACTTTCCGTTCTCATTCATACGGTTTCCTTCTTGCGTGATACTTTCTCATTAGAGCGTTCTTGGTATTCCTCACTATTCACAAGTAGAAAAATGTCAGGAAAACTCGGCAAAACTGGAAAAATCCCCTCTGGAATATTAACCTCACTTCCAACTTCTGACTCTGTTACTTTGGAGGTACGTAAAACGGGCAAAATTTGGAAGAAAATGGATTTTTATCGTGTGCAAGTTCGCAAAAGGGCCTTACAGTGTTTGAATACTAATCGGTATGGAAAAAGGGACAAAGAGTATATCTGAGCTTGATGTCGATTGATTACTTTTGGGGTCCACCTATCCGAGTCAAGAGCCATTTTACTGGCTGCTGGGTGTAGTGGGATTCATTACGCATGCGTACAAACAAAGTGACGGCATGAATATATGTGGGTGGTATCCACACTCACAGTTTGGATCTTGACGCGCACGTGGCAATGAACACGCGGCATGTAACGTGCGGGAACTACCCATCTATAAGTGCTGCGCCACCGGCTAAAATCAGCCAACTGACTTTCACTGGTATATGTACTTGAATATGACTATTGTTAAAAAGAATTACCCAAGCGTGAATAAAGGAAGGTCGCATGCAGCAATACTGAGGCTGCATCCGAATCTGCTGTCTAGAGCTGGGTCTAGGTCTTCGCTCCATTGGAAATGTGTGGAGACGCGTGGACAATAGCCCTAGCCGTAGCTCTGGAAGCCCGTTTGGGAAACGGCCTGAGTAAACTGTAATCATAAGTAGTAGACCGCTCAGTTCACGAGAAGGTTCGTGCACTCTTGTCTAATCTGTGCACCCATACACGAACTTTAAGGAATGCAGTAAGCGTACTATGCCTTAATTGATTCTGCCAACGGATTTGAATAGTTTGAGGACAGCATTGCCACGTCTGCAGTGTGCGAAATGGCTAAACTGGTAAGATATAAACGGTAATGTCTGTCAAAGAGAGCAGGGGCGTAGCGACCGGGATATGTGGAATAATTAATTTCAGTCGGCAAGTGAATCCCAAATTGGTACATAAACGATGTACGTTGGCCGTCTGCATTTCCCCTGAAGCATCAAATGCAGCATACCACGGATTTCCATTTATTCGCACTTCGTGAAATTTACACGACACGAGCTGGGTTGGTGAAGAGGTTCCATTAGTCAGTAAATCATTAAACAATTCTCGCTGCAATAAAACGTAAACTAAAATCCCCCAGATAAAACTGCACATGTGAAACCTGTTAAAAATTAAAGAATTTAACAAACCGATTCCCTTTTTGGCTAAAATAAAATTTGGCAGATCCATAATCTAAAAAACATTCAAAAACGTGAGGCCTTAGTACTTCTACTTATTATCAAGAAGATAACTGACAGATTGTTAACCTGCCATACATAAACATGTGAACTTTGACCTATGTTCAAAGCCTTGCCTACGGTAAGTCGTTTTGTACCACACAAACTGAAAACTACTTCTTGGTAAATGTACATGCATATTGTCTCAGTTTAGCAGAACTGTGGGACTGAACTGGAAAGGGTTAATTCTGTTTATCTCTTCCATGCTCCAATGCTGACAAAATGACATGCGCATAAGCACACAATGAGTGGATTGCCAGACTTCATTCATAGATTTGTCTGGCTCCGGGGTTTTGACAAACGCTTTCAAATCTGGCATTCTTCGACGAAGAACTACCACGCTGCCTGAATTTATAAAGCTGAACACTTGGCTGCATTGTGAAACCTGTTAAAAAAATAAAGAATTTAACAAACCGATTCTCATGTTGTAGCTGGCTCTTAATTAATACAAGGTTCCACGTGTGGTTGTTATTATCATCATCGTTGAAAACGAAATCGGAAGTGGCCATGGCTTTCGACATATCTATAATACATCTTGGTGTAAGATTCTGAAAGACCTTAATCGTCAGGAGAAAGATGTTTAATTACATGAAACGCAGAATACGGTCGATTCACAATAGCGCGCCTCCAAGAGTTTGCAACGCGTTGACCAATCACACTTCGCGAAATCTGTCGACCCTTTCCAAACGCGCATTCAGTCACAAATTTAACGCATTGTGATTGGTCAACGCGTTGCAAACTCCTAGAGGCGCACTGTTGTGAAACGCCCGTATTGAATTGGCAACCAATGTAGCTGACAGTGGGTGAAACACCAAGGCTTTGTTTCCTACATAGGGTCAGGCATGTAGCAGACTTTTGAACTCGTGCTCGCTGGAATTGAACACTTCGAAGTCGTTTTCTCATAAAAGAAACGATATTGCAATAATCCAGTTGTAAAGCCATGATGCAAAGTATAATCAGTAAACCTCACAGCATCCGCTAAACTACACTTACTCCAAGACAAACCATCAGCCTTGCCAATTTTTGAGGTGAAATAGGGAGAAAAAGTGCTAAACGAGGTAAAAGTGGTAACGTTTATGATATAAAACATGGCCTGGATATAATAACAGTGTTGTAATTTATCTTCTCACTAAGTGGGACTGATCACGTGTATTTTGGCAATATATTTCAAATCATTGGTTATCTCGATCAGTTTTGGTAGAACAAATGAAGTGTATTGAGAATATTTTCAGCAATGAGGAACGAAAAGAAATACATCGAATTGATAACCGCCGCTTTTGTAAAGCACTGGGCGAGCTCGTGCGCCTGGCAGAAATTTACCCAAAATGCTCCGCGCGTCTTTAGCTGTGACCCTGTGTGACGTATTTCCTTTACTGAAATCTGTGCAAGGCCATCAGCTTTTTACCAGCGTCCTGTTTGGGGGCTGGGTGACGAGCGAAGAGCTGCGTGCGCGTTAAGACCACGCAAGATATGTTTTGAACCAAAATGGCGTGGCAATGTTGTACCCGTGGGAACGAGGTTGCAACAAACCAGCCTAGGTCCCACTCTTGTCCCAATTTACAACGTTTGGAGTTAAAAATTTCTTTCACAATTTATTTTACAGAGACGTCAACTTGTGCCCGTTACGGGTATTGTTCTTCTAGGAGTGGACATTCTTCTGAGACTTCAGATGATGGATTTGATAATAATTAGACCTCCAAAGCCTCTTGCTGTGGCAAAGAACACTGGCTTTTCCGCCAATAGAAAAAGTTCACGAGTTTTTCCACAGGCGGCAGCAGACACCAAGTCTGCAGGAATGGATGATTTGAAGCCGGCCATTGGAGAGTCGCATAGTTACAAGATCCAGGTGTACGACGACAAAAATCACTTCTTAAAGAAAGTTGGAACCTTCAAGCGCATCCTGCAGCAGTCAAAGGGAGGCCCAAAGCCACGAGGTGACATCCAGTGCGGCAATAACTACACAATTGAGATAACTCTCGCCGACGAGACAAATAAATTTGCAGGAATGGATGCTGTCCTCTTCCACTTTTATATGCCTTTAGTTCCACGACAGGTACCCCCACCAGACATGAACCCAGAGCAGGCTTGGGTCTTTTGCTCATGGGAACCACCACTTAGAACTGCCAAACCGATCGGTCGCTATCCAAAACTGACGGGCTTAGCAGCCAACGCTGAGTGGACTTACCATCGAGCATCCGATATCACGACACCCTTCGGGTTCTACCAATCTGGGATACCCATGATAAACAGGACAAAGACGGCGGATGAATGGCTACAAGGAAAGACAAAGTTGGCCATCTGGATGGGAAGTAATTGTAGAAACACAGGCTGGCCGAGATTAAACTTTGTCCGGAAGCTGCAGAGCTATATGCCAATTGACATTTACGGACGCTGCGGTAACCTCACGTGCTTACCCTTGGACAGAATGTCGTCCAAATGCACCGTGGACCTGGTGCAAAAGTACAAATTCTATCTGGCCTTGGAGAACTCTGAATGCGAGGACTACATCACGGAAAAGGTTTGGGACAAAGCCTTGACGCGAGGGGTTGTCCCTGTCGTTTACGGTGCTAGAAAGAAGGACTACGAAGAGTTGCTTCCTCCCAATTCATTCATCTACATCGGGGATTATGAGAATGTCAAAGAATTGGCAGATTACTTGAAAATATTGGACACTCGACCCGATTTGTATGCCAAGTACTTCGAATGGCAAATCAGCGGGACTGCCAATACAACTGAAATATTTTACGGGATTTTCGACCTTACAAGGTTTTGTCATCTTGTACCAATCATTGAGAAAGTTCGAAGAGGCGAGTTAAACCGAACGCAAGTTATTTCGCGCAATTATGTTCAAACGTGCCGAAAAGGATCGTCCTATGGAGTAGGAAACTGGGATCCATGGTAACAAATATTTAAAATGAATACCTAAAATTTAATGAGGCCTAATAAGCAAGGCTCCTCGATTCCATATTATTGCGAAGAATACAATTAAACAGTTGAGCCTCAAAACGTGGGGGTTAGGCAGGAGAGTATTGTCTCTTTTCAGCGCAGTCGTATGCAAAAGTACCATCAACTTTACACGCTTTGTTGGTAATGGCGTCCTTCCATTGTTTTCCTCTAAATTAAAGCTTGCCAGACAGCATAACTTCACAGGGACCTTTGTCCAATAACAATCTTCATTTCGTTAGTTATATTTTGAATAAAATAATGCAAATGATGGACGGTACCTTTAAGCTCTGAGTGGGTTTTCGGCTCAGCAGATTTTTTTTTCTTGTTTTTATTGTATGGGTTTGCAGTTTGCACGGAGGGGGTGAATTGTTGCATGAGCATACCAACCTGTTTATATTTCTTAGTCCTTTACCATTCATTCTGTTGTTACATACATGTATCCTCATACAAAAAGGTTAAGCACCGACGAAGTTCAATGGTACATGTTGGGCTGCAATACAATTCCTTCAATCGTTTCTGTCTCACGCTGCTTGCTTCAACGCGCAGTCCTGCAACAAGGACCTTTTGCACTGAAAAAAAAATGCTGGAGTTAGATTCAACCCAATCGATGGTGAAAACTACAACTACCCAATAGTTTAGGTTGTGTCAACCCAATTTTGGGTGATTGGAATTAATTTCTGGGTTGTTTTAACCAAACAACGGTTAATGTCCACTTGTTTTGTGAGTGAAAACTGAAACAGAAAGTAGTTCTCAACCTTAAGTTGGGTTAACACAGCCCATATTTGGGTATAGTTGCAGTTTTCACCCTTCCTGGGGTTAAAAGTTAACCAACGAAATTTTTCAGTGTGTCTGTTCTAGAATGCTTGTTTGACCCGAGGCCAAATCCCTGAGACTGGGTGTATTCGATAAAAGCTTCCTCGGGTTCACATCTCTAATAAACACTACTTCAATATTTCATCTTATTTCCAAAGTGATGTTGGAAATTTGCAGATAATTTCAGGGTTGGGAAATGTGAAATGTACGGAAATCAAGGAAAAGAGACTTGGTTGGGCGAATATGCAGTAGGCCCTACGGCAAAAATGGCAGGCGGCACTATTTAGTGCAGTAATGTACATTATGTGGGCCAAGTCTACCAATACGCTGGCATCAAACGTCTTTGACATGTACATTCAAGTTCGAGTGGCTACCATTTGTCGACTGAAGCTTCTTTTTCCCTGGTAACCATTCACAAGTAAATACTATGCCGGACAAAATTTACAAGTGGCTAGCAAAATGGTCTATGTTTGAATTTCGACGCATACAAGCTGATTCTGATATTTATTTGTATGAGAAAGTGTATTGATATGATGAAGATTCATTGCCGGCAAATTTTCTGTTTGCGTACGGTACGCACTGGCTTTGAACCCCCCTCCCTTCCGTGTGGATGGTGTATGCAATGACACCAACCCCCTTCGTGCGTACGTACTTTATGGACGGCCCCTGATGTCCCTTTTCATTAGTAGTGAGTGATTCATCTATTATTCTTCCCTCTTTCTATACGCAAACGAAAACAATGGCTGCAAAGATGTTTATATCTGTGACTTTCCGTAAGTGAGGTTTTCAATTTTTTTTCCGTTTCTTAAAAGCACCAATTTTGGACGTGATCAGTTCTGGTTTAAGTCCTCGTGATTCTGTTGACACTTTGACGTTACGAGGTTGCAGAATTCGATGCATTTGGGGATTTCATCTTTTTGTCCTAGGGTTCTGCACTTCCGACTAACTGTCAACCTAGAACGTCATCACTCCTGTCATCTCTTTGATTAAATTACCACGAAGGCCATGTTTGTAGAGGATTTACCCCAATGTGCATTTTGCAAAACAAATTAGAGAGTCTTGGGCATCGTGATAAATAGCGACAGTGTCATCACCTCGTATTAGCCATTAGCTGATACTTGCACTGCGTATTAGATAATGACATCATTAATACAATATGCCAAGATCTGTCTTCGTCAAGGAATATTGGGTTTGCGGTCTTTGCGGTGAAGTTCAGATAAACTTCTTTGGAAAGTGGTCCATTTTCCAGGCACGTCCAGTCACTCGATGACTCGGCCTCTACCACTAATAGTCTAGCCAATCATCGTGACCTATCGTGACGTCCATTTTATTGAAAGGAAAAATAAGAGGATGATTGTTTTGTCAAGTACAGAACTGTTTTCATAAGTATCCCAAATGACACTGATTAAAGCAAATTTTATATGGAAATTTATGTCCTACTTAGGCTATCTGTGAACAGAATAATGCCAAATAGTATTTAAAAAAAGTACCTTACCATATTTGCATCGTCACTATTATACGAAGACTCTATATATGAGAAGATAAATGGATATATTATAGGAATACGAAAATATCTCTTGATGGGATCTTAGGGAATTACAGCGTATTATCCGATTTCTGGCGATTACATGAAATATAAGAAGTAATGTTAGCATTTCTGGTATATTTCGCATGTTTTAAGTGCTAAACAACACACCTGCTTTCTATGTTGTGAATATTATTGGTAAGGTTTGTTGGATTCAAAAAGATTGTCTTTGGGTGAAAAAGACTTTGCCGCCAACCGGCTCTAGTTGGCGCTGTTCTTGACGGCAACCAATGCGTATCACATACAGTTTCATGTACCCGTACTGTTCGGATGTCAATGACATGTTCATAATATTCATCTTGTGTAAATGATGTTGATCACAAACCTAACGTGCGTTTATAAAGAAACATGCGTGGGCAAAGAGCTAACAGCAAAGAAGTGATAAAAAACTACACGAAATAAAAAATATCGCCGACGGGCCTTTCCATCTCCGTGGCAAAAGAATTAAGCTTGATTTCCTGCAGTATTAATATAACAAAGTACAATTTTCTGACATATTTACTGGATAAAAGGAGCTAATTAGGCCGATCGCTCGTCAAAATGATTCTTTTTTTCTCAAAGACACCGAGGCGTTGTATAAAAAGAGAGACACGATACAGAATGAAATCAATTAGGATAGAAATTTATTGGTACCGGGCCATCTGTGCATTCATTCTGTCTGACGTGGGCGAAAGTCTGTTTGGTGGTGTGGGGACCGTGTTTGGACGAAAGTGGAAACAAATTAGATATTGGCAAAAAACCTTCTCGATCCCAATACAGCTATTCATTCGACAAGTTCATTTATCTTTGCATTCGTTCTAATGATTTTCCCGACTCTTCCAAAATTACCTAGCTCGAGACCGATCACAATTTATTCTCATTCCAAAGCACCGCTTAAATATTGGGTAGTCATTTTGAAGGTTCAGTATATCCAACATTTCGCCGCTTTGAGATATGCATCACACTTAACGCTTTAGCTTATCGGTCTATTCTGTCTGAGGATGAAGGAATTGTTCTCCACAGAATTACTCCACGCTGTGAATGTACAAAACTGGATCCCCCAAACTGGTGCTTTTCAGTGTTATCATTTTGTTCTTAATGCGAATATCGAAACGAATCTGTGACTAATAATTTCACGCTTTAAATGAAAAGTTTTGATCCCAGTGTCACGGGCTTCTCGTCTATATCAAATGGCACCCTCAGAGTTGGCCAAACGCAGTGTCAGGCCGCAGATTAATACGCCGGTTTAGAATGGCGCGCATTTATCACTTTGGCACCACACGATGAAGCCAAGGAACCATTACCATGTCACCAAAGATAAATTACACGCGGTGGATTGCACTACATAAGAACCTTGTCTGTAGCGCCGTTAGCAGACGTCCAGACAGTGTCGAAGCACGCCCAAAGACCTCCCTGCATTGACTGCCTACGACATCTAAATACCAGCGAGTAGTTCATCCACTGACGTTGCTATCTACGGGTACATCTGCGTGTCTCACCATACTCAGCAAGCCTGCAAAACACTGACTTGAGAAGAGGTTTTTTTAGCATTAAGTTTACTGTCGGAACATCTGTCTTCTGCCGACTGAAGTTTGACATAGAAAGAGGTATGTAATTTACAATTCTGTGTATAAAACATGACCATACTTGCAAAATACTGAATAATACAATAGAATTGGAGTCCCTTTCTCCAGCAATATCGATTCTTGTCAAGGTCTTTAACTTTGTTTCTGTTTGTCAAGAATCGATGTGTCGAAAATCAACCAAAGGAGCTTTCCATTTGTTGTTCAGCATCCTTTTAAAATGATAACCGACGGAGTGAAAACGGATGGCTCAGTAATTTTGCGCATATTTTCCCAAAAGAAATGAAGAATATATCGATTTTTTAAATTTGCCGAATTCCAAGTCATGGGTGTTTTGAACTTAAATGAAGAACTTAGACAGTGAATATTACTGTTTAGTTTTTTCACCTTCTACAATGTTTCATCATCCCCAATACCAAAATTAGTTGTGTTTTCAAAATTACACTCTGTGCCATCGTTGATCTTTCTTTAAATGCAACCGATTCATAAAGAAATTTATGTTAGTTTGTTTCCGGGTATCTCAGGCCCACATTCCTGGACCGCATGTTTTTCTCAAGCTGAAGTGTGCCATATCATCATAGAGATGGATCACGGCACTTTGTCCTGGCTTTTAGGGCGTTCATGCTTCGCTGCAATAAAACAGCCGAAATGGCATTAAATGAAGCGAGACATTGTCGAAGAATTATTACACTTGGGAGATCTCATCGAGACGGTCTGGATATATGGCGAAGCACTCACCCAAGTTTGGATTACTTTCCTCACCACCTCCGCTTCTTCTTCTTTCCTTTTTTTTTTTGTTTGTTTATTAACAAATAGAGCTTTTTGTGTTCGCTTAATATTGGGACACGCAACGACGACAATCCTCTTTATGCTGCCCGAAACGAAGTCCATTGAGTGATTTTTCCAAATGTCGGGTACTAATTTGCAGGGCTAACCGATCGTTCTGCTTACAAACCCCAGTTCTCAAACATGATCATTGCACTGTGTGGATAAACTTACTGAAAAGTACCGCTATAGGCCTACCAAAAATGTTGTCACTGTTATTGTTTGAGGTACTGTGAAGACTTTCGTTAGTTTGACTCAAGTTGAAACAAGACCTGTTTGTTTATATTTAGGTTAACGGATTTTTTCTTACAAGGTACCTTTAGAGGGTAGAATAAACATAAATATAGGCTACTTGGCATTTGTTCATCATAGTAAATCTCAGCAAGGTGATTGGGACGGTCATTATTCAAGTACGCATTAAATTATTTAATGACGACACTTTCCCGCAAGTAAATACACCACGGAAGAAGGTATAGACAGTTCTTAAGGCCCTTTCCATATGTACGTTTCCGGGGCGATTTTGACGGCCGAACGCAACGCACACATGTGCTATGTAAATTGACGCGATTTTTGTGTCCGTGAAAGTGAAACGCATGAACGCATCGTATACGCAACGCAACCCCAAAAAATTGCATAAGGAAAGGCAACGTTATACCTCCATCAGCGATTAGTTAGAAGCGTTGTTGGCAGGTTGACACGTACACCTTTATACCTTACTGGACTCTTTATCATTTTACGAGAATAATTTTCACAATCGGTAAAACCTTGCGGGCGATTGCTTTGATTCTAACATTTTGATAAGCGAGTACAGAAATAAATCAACACCAGGAAAATTGCTAAAAATAAAACTTGTGTGAAAGAGATTGTAACCCTCACTTGAGATGTA